AATTCCCAGAAAAAATCTCCAAATACATCAATCGGCACCACCACCACCACCTCAAATCACAACCCATAAACTACTATAACCACAAACTTTGTGTACTCTCAGCCACAAACATCGGAAAAGCAGTTGTTGGGAGTGGAGGTAGTTCGCCATTCACTATCAGAAGATGGGGAAGCGACGATCTGTGCTACGAACTTTCGACGGTATTCGTCGCCAACCTCTGTTGAATAGGAAAATGGGGAAATGTGCTAGATCTGAGGGAAGCGACGATCTGGTACTATAAATGGAAGTGGTGCAGCGAGGGTGAGAGAGAGAGAGAGGGGGGGGTGGGGTGAATGAAGGAGTGAGTGAATTAATTAGGGTTTGGCATACCTGACATGTGCATAAAAAACTTCCTCATCTGATGTTTGCATCCCAATCTTTAAACACCTGGGATGGTGTAATTTCCACAGTTTAATATTCATGTGGGTCTTTGCAACATGTGTGGGGGTTGTACACCATGTGTACAAATAGCTTTTCTCATCTTGAGAATGGATTGGGTAACAGTTGATTTTTTTATTTTTATTTTTATTTTTTTGGAGAAAGTATGATTAAAAATATGAAAAATTATGAGTTTAAATGTAAAATTATTTTATTGAAAGAATATACGTTTAAAATTAATTTTAAAAAAATATGATTTCAAAAAAATGCTGAACATGTTATAAAGGTATGTAGAAATTTTTTCCGACATATTTAGCCATAGTTTGATTGGATAAAAATTAATTTTTCTTACGAATTTTGATCAAAGTTGGTGAAACGTATAATTGACAAAATTTGTGAATCCCATAAAATGTATAACTAGAAATGAATTTGGGAAAAAATGCTTTAAGAAATTGAGGACCAAATGGCACATAATTTGTTTTATACAAAAAGAAAATATTTCATCAATCCTATAAAGAAATTGGATCGACATGTGAGTGGACAGCTATCCCAATCAGAGTCACAAAAAGTAGAGAGTTGAAAGCTGCATGTTGATGAGAAGAATAGACCATAACCAAGAGTGGTCTTCAAGAAGCGGAGGACACTGAGAGCTACAAAGTGATGAGAAACAAGAGGAGCATGCATGAATTAACTAAGAACATTGACGGTGAATGTGATATTTGGTCGAGAATTGATCAAGTATATCAATCACCTAATTAATCTTCCGTATGGACTAGGATCGGTCAAAAGGTCACTATCCGAGTTAGTAAGTTTTAAATGTTGCTCCATCGGAAAGTAAGTAGGGTGAGACCCTAGTTGACCAAAATCTAAGAGAATATCCAAAGCATATTTATGCTGATTGATAAAGATGCCAGCAGGGGAACGAGCAACCTCAATTCCAAGGAAATACTTGAGATCATCGAGATCTTTAATCTTGAATGTATAAGTAAGTTGAGATTTGATGGAAGTGATGACAAAGAGATCATTTCCAACCTCCAAAATGTCATCGACATATATAAGAATAGCTGTGAAAAAGTCTCCTGAATTTCGGTGAAGAGACTATGATCGGCGGAAGATTGGCTGAAATCTGCAAGAGTGAGAGTGTGAGATAATTTCCAGTACCATTGCCAAGATGCTTGTTTGAGACCATATAGAGATTTGTAAAGATGGCATACACATGTCTCCCCCTGACAACAATACCCTAGCGGGAGTTTTATGTATACTTTCTCATCAACATCGCTATTGAGGAAAGCATTATGAACATTCAACTGGTGTATGATCCAGTGTTTAACTGCAGCTATAGCAAAAAGACAACGAACAGTAACAAGTTTAGCCACAGGCGCGAAAGTATCATGATAGTCAAGACCCTCTACCTAAGTGAAACCCTTGGCAACTAAATGAGCCTTATGGCGTTCGATGGAACCATCTACACGCAACTTTGTTTTGTAGACCCATTTACAACCAATAGCCTTCTTACCAAAAGGATGGGTTTCAAGGATCATGTTTGGTTAGCCTCCAATGCCTGAATTTCTAAGGCCATTATTTGATGCTAATGGGGCTCAAGGACAGCTTGAGAATATAGAAGAGAATCTTTGATGTTTTTTGAGATAGAAGATAAAAACAAAATGTTTTGAACTAAAAAAACAATAAGAGAGAAAATTGGGTAAAGAATGAATCGTACCTAAGAAGGACTGAGAAGAAAGTGTCAAACGTGTGGTCTCTGGTGGCAAGTCTGAGCGAATTTAATCCCCAAGGTATGCGGGACGAGTGATGATACTGAGAGGTCTTGGTAATGTAGGTGTGGATGGGATGGTGTCTGAGAGGTTGTCCAAGGGATTTGTAGGAAGTGTAGAATTGGGGGATAGGGATGGATCAAGTGTAGTAGCGGAAGGGGTTGATGTTGGGAAAATGGACTCAAAACTTGGTTCGATGTTAGGTGATGGGGAAGAATGTTATATATCTAGGAAGTGTCGGTTGTCAGGTGGGAAAGTTGACGGTGATTGTCTAGAATGTAATGGATAGTAGCAAAAGAGAAGACGAATTCCACAAAGCGTACATCACGAGAAAGAAAAATGGTTTTTGTGTTCAGGTCATAAACACGATAAATGTGTGGGATTTGAGTATAGTCAATAAAGATGCAAGGTGTGGTGCGAGGAAAGAATTTCTCACGATGGAGTTTCAAAGTGTGTGCATAACAAAGGCATCCAAACACACAAAGATGATCATATGAGGGGCACTTTTGAAAAAAGGAGCTCATAAGGAGTTTTGCATTGGAAAGAGGAAGAAGGGGTGCAATTGATTAAATAAGTAGCAGTAAGTATGCATTCGCCCCAAAAGGAAATAGGTAAATGAGCATGAAAACAAAGACATTGAGTCACATTTAAGAGATGGCAATGTTTTCGTTCAGCCACACCATTTTGTTGTGGTGTTTCAACACAAGTTCATTCATGAATGATGCCATGATCAAGAAAGAATTTTTGCGTGTGATGGGAAAGGAATTCTTGACCATTATTAGAACGAACATGTTTGATAGAAAAATTAAATTGTATGTCGACCAGTTTAATAAAGGCGGTGAGACAAGAAAATGTGTCAGATTTAAAGCGCATAAGGTATACTCAAGTAACACGAGAAAAATCGTCAACAATAGTGAGAAAATAATGTGCACCAGATGTAGACGGTGTAGAATAGCCACCCCAAATATCACAAAAAAACACGATGAAATATGGTATCACTTTTATTCTCAACTAATTTAAACGGAAGACAAGTATGTTTGCCTCGAATACAACTATCACAATTGTCAATCATATCCGAAGTACATAAAAATTTTGGAATGCAAGAAATGGAAGAGTGGCCTAAGCGAAGATGCCATAAGGTTGAGGTGGAATTAGCCTTGAAGCCGACTTGTAGTGCAACTGGAGAAAGAAGCTTGAGAATGAAGAGGCCACCACGTTCTTTACCCATTCCAATCAGCCTCCTCGTGTGTTGGTCCCGAAAAAAATGTGAAGAAGAAAAAATTACAATGCAATTGGATGTTTTAATGAGCTAGCTAACAGAGAGTAAATTATAATTGAATTTAGGAACAAAATGCACATTAAAAAATGTTAAGTGCGGAGGGAGACAAATATGGCCCTTATAAGTAGTTTGAGTTGTGACACTTGCAGTAGAGTTAAAAACTGCGAGTGATGAGAGACATTGGTAATAGTAGATAAACTGATAATAGAGGAGATATAAGCTGAAGCCCCAATGTCTATAATCCACGGTAGAGTACTTTTAGAGGTCAAGGAAGAGATAACAGAGAAATTATTGGCGCTGGCTTGAAGAAGGTCTATCAATTGCCGATAATTTTCATCGAAGAGGCTAGGAATCACACTTGAGGTCGAAGGTGCTTGAACACAGGTACCATATTTGCTCCTAGCAGTTGCTTGTTTACTATTGTTTGGGAATGAAGTGGTTGCTTTGGTCTGTTGGTGTTCTAGTGAGGGGGGGTACCTAATAATCTCGAAGCAAGCAGCCTCAAAATGTCCATCATTCCCACATTTTGTGCACTTTTTACTAATGCGGGTGCAAAATCCATAGTACCCCAGGTTATGGCTACGGGGTACAGCCATGGCAGATGCCTTTTACCCTCGCCCTGGCCCTCACCCTTACCCTCACCCTCACCCTCACCGTCACCCACTCCCACTCCCACTCCCACTTCACCCCCAACCTAAACCCAAAATCCACATTGGCTATCGCCATTGCCACCGAAACTGATACAACCTTCATTATCGACCACCGAGAATGATAGAGCTCGTGAAGAACCCAAGAATACTAGAATCTCTTTGTAGGCTTAGTTACAGTGATAGAGAGTAACATATTTTGTGGTTTCTTTAGTTTTCCTCGTTTACTTTTTCCCTCTTATTTGATGTGCGGTCACCGAAGCACATTCTAGTGGCTCAGAGGATGCCTATATATATATAAGGGTGCGCTTGATTTGTGTTTCCGTTCTTTGTTTTCAGTTTTGATTCATTTTTAGTTTTTTGTTTTGAAAGTCTATTTTTGAATTACAGAAAACGTGTTTTGGATTATCATTTTGAAAAACGGTTTCTCAAAACAAAAAACTAATAAACGCGTTTGGTTTAAATTTTTTAGAAATTGTTTTATGACATTTATTCAATGATTTAGTAAAACATAATAATTTTATGCTAATATATTACTAGATAATATATATTTTAAACATGGCGAATTTACTATTTTTTCTTACTATAAAAATAAAATAATAAATAATAATTTATTAGAAATTGTTTTATGACATTTATTCAATTAATTTAATTATTTAGTAAAAAATGAAATAATAGTTCTTCCAAATTTTGATCAACCAAAAAAACAATAATGTAAATTGAAAAATGTTGTGGGTTTTAAAAAATAATAATTTCACATGAAAAGATAGGGAAAAAAATAAATGATATGGATTGAGAATTATATAATGTGATTATGAATGGTGAGATTGCAACAAGTATATAATAGCAAGTGAGCTAAGTTTGCAAGCTTAAATGCGGACGGCAAAAAAAAGGTAGAATTCAAACAATAAAATAAATCTATGGAATCATGTATGAGTCGTTGAGTAGTTATTCCACATTTGTATAACAATTTGATCTCTGAATTATCCCATTTGAGATGTTTGACTAGCATCAAATTGTATCTTCACACAATTCTGACACATCTTCAAATATCATACTCTAATGAATATTGAGCAAAAAGTCTATCCAAGGCGTGCTCCTGAAGAATGAAGTTATGTATTGTGCAACCTGTAGTAGGAATTTGTCTCTGTCTATCAAGTGGATAATTGGTCGTTAACTTCAAAAATGGGAAATCTTGCCTTTAATACTCCAATGCAACGTTCAATAATGTTTCGACATGATGAGTGTTTATAGTTGAATAGCTCATTCTTTCCATGCAGTCTTCCTCGTCCTTTATAATCACACAAATGATATCTTCGACCTTGATAAGGAGCAAAAAATATGGGCATGTTTGGATAGCCAGAGTCGACAAGATAAAATTGATCAACGAAAGAATTATAATTTAAGACTGAAATACTGTAAAAATATTTGATGAATTCTTTTGATTATTAGAATCTACCCCCTCATGGCATTGGAAAGTTGTTTGATGCTTTTGTATTTGCATCAATGAATACTCGAGAATCATTAGCGATACCTTCCCATCCAGAATACACAAATATGAATTTCATATCAAAATCACATGCTAGCATCACGTTTTGTGTCATATTAGTTTTCCTTCTACGAAAAGATGTTTGTCTCGATGCAGTTGTCCAAGCTGAAACATTGTTCCATCTAATGCTCATATACAATCCTATAATGTGATAACAAATGAGACTTTATTGAGTTAAACCAAGAATAGAATAAAACTAACCGTAAAGAAAGGACATTTGCACAAGAAATGCTCATGTACGACACCTTGGTTTGTTGTGCGAATTATCTCTGTGCCAAATGAACAAATAACCATTAAAACTCGCTTAAACCATTTTGATATTGTATGATTGGAACGTTGAAAGCGATCACCAATGACTCTATATTGTGTTGTGTGCCCTATAATTATTAGAAACATAACAACACCCTCCTCAACACTCACATTTTCTCCATCTCTCAATAATCGATTCTCTTTCAAGATATCAAAAAAATTCATAAAAAAATGTTTCTGCATACGAAAAATATCATGACATACGATTGGATGTCTATTCAAAATTTCAAGCATGTACATCCTTCTAGTAAACAATGATGTTCTACAAGGTGTCGTATTTATGATACTTCTTTCTTTGACAAGAAAATAATGAAGCATCATCATATCTCCAATAGCCACATCAAAATCATCAGTAAATAAAAAATCATCGTCATCTGAATAATTGCCATGAGCCAAACTTGAATCAGTAGACATCCCTATACATAATATATTCATAAGCATCATTATCAATTCAGAGAGAAGCTAGTGGAAATCAATAAACATATCAATGAACATCTAGTGGGAACAAATACTTACAATGCTACGATCAGATCTATTTTGAAAACTGGGTTTTTAATAAAGTCAAATTGAGAAAAGTCACTGAGTTGGAACAAAAGGAAGTAGCCTGACTAACCCCTCGATCGCTATATAATAAACTACTTGGTTTCTGCCTTCTTCGCACATCCTTCCTCGCATTCATGATGGATTTCTCCAACTTTACTATGCTTCTGTTTGTTATGTTGGTACTTATTGCCGCTTGTGTTTGATTTACAATTTGTAGCCTCTTTAAGCATAATTACTGACGAGGAAGCCTTGATCTCATTCAAGTCTCAAATAGCTCAGCCCTGGATTTGATGCAAAATCAGATTTCTGGACAAATTCCCGAAGAGATCAGTTAACTTAAACAGCTCCAAGTTTAGAATTTGGCAAAATCAGAGTCTTGTACACACAAACACGATGAATAGGGTAGTCAATGCGAATCCAATCACTGTCATCCCTAAATTTATCTGTGAAGTCATCATTGTTTCCTCTCTAGATGCTGACACTAAATTAAAATTGAAAGTCAATTCAATATTTTCTAGACACTTTAATGTCTCACACAGATATCTCAGAAAAAAATCAAACACTCTTCATAGAAACCCCTTCTTGATTCTGATTTCAGTATTTAGCATCCACGTTTTTATTTAAATTAGATTATTACCAATAAAAACCAGCAAAATCAAGAAAATGTAAAAGCAAGAACAAGATGCCCTAAAATACAAAAATAAAAATGGGTTTCCAAGCAAGTTTTGAGGAAGATTACGTACATGCTCGTCAGATTGTAGGACCTCGTCGGAGTGGAGGATGTTGCCGGATGGAGGACGTCGTCGTGTGGACTTTTGGAGAAGGCATCAAGTGAAGTGAGAGAGGAATCGTGAGAAGACGCCAAATTTCTTTTGTTTTAATATGAATTTTACTTTAGCGTGCTTTGAGTATTTTGGGCATTTTGAATATTTTGAACTAAAAACACTAAATATATATATATATATACACACACAAAAGAGGGGGGTCCCTGAAAAAGAGGTTATTTCAAGAATTTTAAAACTGTTGTAGGGGGGTTGTTAAAACAATTATGAAAAATCCTACTCAGTACTCTTCTTAATTGAGATTTCTTTTTCTTTTGGTAAAATAATATCCCCTTTTTTTTTTTTTAAAACATGCCATCTGAGATATATGAACTTGGGCCTAACTCCATTCTTGTAAGGACACCACTGGCACTCCCTTAACAAGAATTCTTAAAACAGTGATCCCTTTCTCTCTTCTATGCGTATCCTAGCCTCTTCACTGGGTCTTTACGCTTTGAGAGATCACTCAGGGCTTATTTTAAAAACAGTTTAAACTTTTAACTTGGAGTTAAAACATGCTCTTATCATATACCCAGCATGAAACATAAAAATCTTTACAAGAATCATAAAAATT